ACACACACACACACACACACACACACACCCCCAAGGCTCAAGCTGAGTTAATCGCCAGGCCTTTGCATTTGTACTTATTTTTTCCATTTACAGATCTTTCTCGTACATTCTCACTCAACTCTCGCAACAACCCTGTGAGGTAGCAGCACAGATGTTCTTCTCATTTAACAGATGAGGAAAGTGAATCTCAGAGCTGTTAGCTGATGTTCCTCAAGTTCTGCAATAAGTAAATACTGTAATGTTTATTAGTATCTGTCTTTGGCCTAAAAATTCAGCACCTAACCTCCCTATACTTTCCCTACCTAATTCATAAGGATAATGAAGATAAAATGAATTCAAGGCTAGAAAAATACTTAGAGGGGAAAGAATCTGTATGATTTTACCCATAAACTGTAATCATCCCTGATATATGGCTATATGGCTCACTCCCTTTCTCTTCCTGGCTTGTGTGTGAGCCCTGAATGCTATATTATCTGTCTATACTGACTAAGCAATCAAGTAAGGCAAGCTAACAGTGTGGCCCTGTTTAAGGATTTATAAATTATACTCAGCATAACTTCATTATTAGGCAAACTGAACTACACAAAGGCTAGTGAACAGCGAGGACCCACTAAAGCACATAGCAAAGCGAGGCAACACTGCCAGTCAGGGCATGACTGCACAGAAGGAATGTGCCTGGCACACACAGAAAGATCTGAGGCAAAGTGGTGGCAAGGCACAATGTTTGCTCCTTGTTATATAAACAAGAGCACGAGACTCATAGGAACCCATGCGGAAGGATCGTATGTCACACGCGGCTCTCCAGTTGCCTACAGAGAATAGAAACACTGTCATCTTCACTGTGAAGAGCAATTTGTTATTACTTGAGTTTAGATGACCCCTCAAAGCCTCATGCAGTCATAGGTGGGACTTCTTCACAGGTGGTTGGAGCTAGAGTGTGTGACACTGGAATTCATTCCTGGAGCAATGTTAGGATCAAGGGTAATAAGATTAATAAGAGTGTGAGTGCTACCTGCCCTAAGTAGTCTGGATAAGATAAAAGGGCCAGATAAATGCTATTAAAGCCTCTTGCTTGTTTTGCTACTTTCTGGCCACCGTGAACTGTTTCTCCTCTGCGATGCCCTTCTGCCATGTGCCACTTTTCCTTGGAGCCAGCCAACTGTAGACTGAAACCTCTATGAACTGTAAGCCAAGCAAACCTTTCCTCCTTTAACTTTGGGTATTGGGCATTTTGTCATAGCAACAAGAAAAGTAACTAAGACATGATTATACCTATGCTCGCATCTGGAACTAAACCAAGGGGCAGCTCCATGCTGAACTTATGTAAATACAGCCAGTACTACTATTCCTAATCAGGCTAACAAATAGTATGTGTTTCAAGATAATAATTAGGTGACTGTTTAGGTTTCCTTCAGGATTAACTTTGGTTTCTCCTGGTTTAAAACTCCCCAAAAAGTTATATTTTTTATTGATAATTCTAAATATACATGTTTATAACATTGTAAATGTGGTAGATGAATTTAACATATTAATAGCACATTAAAAGTTTCCTAGCACCTGTTCAGAAAAGATTCCATACTATACATTTTCAGTATCTTTTCAACTGAAAAGTACCCTATTCAGCAGATTCTCCTGAAGAGTTTCATTCTGAACAAGCTTTGCTTGCTTTCAGTTTTTTATTTTCATCTGCAACTGCTCTCATTTCTCTTTCATTTCTGCCAGTCTAGGCAAAGCAGCTCAATTTCTGGATTTTCTGAGGTAGCAGCTCCCAAGTAATGCTTTTAAAAATCTAAAGCTCTATGGGGTTTCTTCGGTTCTTCATAAACACTACCGCACCTTGGTCAGTGTACCCCGCAGCCCTGACTTCTCCAGCGACCTCCAGAACTACTCATGCTGCAGCTTTGAGATGGGCCATGGTGACAGGAGCCCTGGCCCTTTTGATTTGGAAAAAAGGATTCACTAAGTTGGCCTCAAACTTTCAGTCATCCTGTTTCAGCCTCCCAAGCTTGCACTACCATGAGCCTTATAGGTGTACACCACAATACCCAGCTTCTTTCTCATTTATTTAGGTTGTTATTTTCCCAGACTTCTTAAATTAGGTATAATGAACTCTAATTTTCTGTCTTCTTGTGCTATACTTAAGCTTGGTATTTTTAAAATTACATTAACTACTTACATTCCACAAACTGATAGATAATTGTCTCATTGTATTCACTTTTAGATATGTTGCATTTAATTCCCATTGCTTTGATTTCTATATTGTGAATTTTGTTTCCATTATCATTTTGATATTGATTTCTAATTTAATTTAATTATGGTCAAAGAATATAGTCTGTATGTTTACATTTTGATATTTGTGGCTATCTTATATAGGACCTAGTATATAGTCACTTTTATAAATATTTTGTATGTAATGAACATATTCTCAAGGCTTTATCTGTGTAGGTGACAAATATAACAGTATTTATGTATAATTACAAGAGAAATGGAAATTAAATATATGAATATTTCTATTTCTCTTGTAATTTTAATATATATATTTAATATATTGTTAATATATATAACATGGCAGCATTTTCATATAAATACAGTGTTGATATAGTATACAGATTTTACCCCTATTCTTGTCTTTCTTGCCCTTGGGTGTATTCTTTGATTAGTTTTCTCTAGTACTTATTTTCTTTCTCTTTGCATGAACTTATTTTATCGTTTTACTAGGCTTGCCTGGCATGGGTGTTTCCCTAGCATTTTTAAATTTTTTCCCAAACCTCAGTTTTTTGTAATATTTTGTTCTTAATCTGCCTTGTATATATCTTAGCTTTAAAAGTTCTGATGTTGTCACTGTTTTTCCAGTCATTGCCCCGTGTATAAGTCCTGGGTGGGGCGTTGGACGTGCTGACGCTTGGTGATGAGGGTGTTCAGTTGTTTATTCTGTCATTTTTGGATTCTGAATCATTTCCACTGGACCCCATCTATAACTCCATGGCAACCCCAGGGCAAGAGAGGATCTCTCCAGAGTGATTTTGCATTGGCCTCTGCTTGGCTCCTGAGATCCCTCCATCTCATTTGAGAGCCAGTTTGTATGTAACTTTCTGGCAGGCTCTGAGACCTCTATGTTACTGCATCGTAACTTGCACCTCAGATTTGCCTCTGGCTTACAGTTCCCAAGCAGTATCAAGACTCCTGCTCTTCCCACCAGGAGGACAGGCTTCGTTCGGGGTTTCATTGAGCTCATCCTGTCTTTCGCTGAGGCACCACCAGTTAAAGGTTGTATGTATAGGCAGACAGTTGAGCTCAGGGCTGTCACTTCTCTCAAGTCCAGGCGGTCCTGGGTTAGCAGGCCCCAGGTTCAGCCCTGGCCTCAGCAGCTTGCTTGACTCTGCTTTGGTTCTCAGTGTCTCCTTGTTTCTGGCACCTCAGGACTTCCATGTCTTATTTTTGTGTTTAGCTATGCATATAAAATGTCCTTAAATATTTTATCTGGCAATTTTAAGTCTTTATATGTAAATATTTTCAATTCACCTTAGTCTATAATTTTTCCAGAACTAATTCAAAAATTAGCACATAGTCTAAAGCATAGGTATATTCCAACGTGCTATGATATATGTTTCTTCATGTAGTCACTGCTTTCATTGGTGACAAGGGCTAAGCAAGATATGGCATTGCCCCCAATCCGAGGTATGCAGGAGCCACTCACAGGAGGATTGTTACTTTATGTTTTTCTTTCCCTTATTACTTTTTTTATTAGTACGTGTTTGTAATACATAAGGATTGCATTCATCATGTGAAGCTGTTCACAAAATGTCCCTCAACGAGCCTGTTGCCAAGCCTAGGTTTTGTTAGTCTCCTTCCACCAAGCATAGTCACAATTAAATGAATATAAGAGAGGAAAAGACAAGAAAGAAGCACCTTGCCAGTTGTGCTGTAATCCCAGCACTTGGGAGGCTGAGGCAGGAGGATCACTGTGAGTTCGACACCAGCCTGGGCTACAGAGTGAGTTCCAGGTCAGTCTCAACTACATAGTGAGACCCTGTCTCAAAAAAAAAGAAAAAGAAAGAAAGAAGTGCCTTAACATGTCGAAGGACTCCCACTTTCTGGTGGCCTGTGAGGTAGCCTCCTTTCCCTGTCTTCTTCCTCGACACCCCCTGTAAGGCCCTGACCTCTGAGAGCTGACCCTTGCTGGACAAAGGGCTGAGATGAGGGATGCCTGGTGTGTTTCTCTCCCTGTCTTTTGTGCCCAGTTGTAGAACCGCCTTTTCTATTGTCTGTTAGCTTCTTTTCCCCTGTGTATCCACAGTGGGCTGTCAGTTTTATCCTGCAGACTGAGAGGGGCTGGAAGTGCTTGCCTAGGGCAGAGCAGCCTGGCTTTTCACTTCCCATGCGACTGCCATGTGAGAAATCTCCTTAAGGCACTAGGATGGCTCATCTCCTTCTCTGATGACTGTTGTTGCTCTCTTCTAGGGAGGAATGATCAACTGGAATCGTCTTTTCCCTCCTCTGCGCCAGCGACGAAATATAAACTACCAGGATGGCCGGCAGGCCGAGCAGCAGGCATCCCCTCCTCTGGAGGTTTCCGAAGAGCAGGTAATCAGCAGCACACAGTGCCTGCCCTAAATCCGTGCGTGAGACTTAAGGTGGTTTGGGCCCATGAGAGATCCAAGCTTGATTTTGAAAGGATAAAGCATGTCAATACAAAGACTTTGACAGCAGTTGTCACCAGTGAGAGTGACCAAGGCTTTTATTGACTACTGTGACTCTCGCTGTGGGCTTGAGGAAAGCGTGATTTGAGGGGGAAGATACATTGTGTTGGCTCATTTTAAAGTCTCTTGTACTGTAGACAAGACATTAAAGAGGTCGGTTCCTGACCAAAGATGGAGAGGACTGGAAGGATGGGGAGAGAATGCCACCTTTGCATAGAGTCTTGACTTTTATGATTTTAAATCATATTAATGCTTTATGTAGTCGAACATGAAATCAACAAGAGCAGGGATTGGGTCAGTCAGCTGTTTTGTTTTGTTTCATTTTTTGCAACCATCATAGTAAAAATCAATTCAGGGAAGAATTATATGAATTATATCAGTATATGAAGACTAGGCTGTTTATACTCTGAAAATATCTCTCCATCAACAAGTTACTTATTAATTACAAAAGGAAAATAGCACTGTGTAATGAGAAATTTAACACCACCTTAACCAGACATTTTAGAGATGGCCCAGAAACTCTGTGTGTGTGTATGTGTGTGTGTGTTTGTGCACATGCACACATGTGATCCTGGGTGTGTATAGACAGAGAAACAGAAAGCAGCATGGCAAAATAATAGTTCTTGAATCCTAATGAAGAGGAAGGAGGGAGGGGTTCGTGGTGTTATTCTGAAAATCAAACTAAATAAAACTTAATTACAATCTTCTAATGACAGTTTGAGATTTCTGTCTGCCTGTGTTTCCTTCTGAGCAAACAAAACAAATTGAGGTCAGTATTTCACAGCCGTCTACTGCGTCCCCATCCCTTCCCCAGAATAAACCGGAAATGGTTGGACACAAAGGCACTGGCCTCTGAGGCGAAACTGAGTCCTGGGTATCCTGGGGCTGTGGCCCAGCTCGGCCACCCCACAGGCTCCGAGAGGAGCCTTCGTGTGGCCGGTGAAGGCGCCCAGCCCCTCAGACTCGGTTTCTGGCCTCACTGGCACACCAGCCACTCCTCAGGCCGGGCCTCTTCCGCCGCCCTAGAGGGTTTCTGACGTGTCACCCCAGGGTGAGGGTCTTCCAGATTCTGGAAGATCTTTATAGCCACAGATTTAAAACTATGAAGTAGTCTCAGGTCCACACAGAAAGAAAGATCAGCATTGTGTTTACCTGGTCAGAGTGAGTCACCCCCCTCACAGGGCAGCTGGAGGTGATAAGGAGGTGTTTCTTGGTGTTGGCACCTTCCAAAAAACAGTGTCAAAAAGGGCAAACAAAGAGAGTGGATGTAATTGAAGTCTTTGGGGTTTTTTTAAAAAATGAATCATTCTGCCTTGATCCTCCCAGAGTGACGGCGGTGAGGCTAACGTTGGTCGGTATTGGTGCAAAGTGGCATTCACTTCTTCCTTGCTCAGTGTTGTGAGAGCACATAACCTTCAGAGAGATTGTTTTTTTTAACGTACACTTTCTTACTCACTGATTCCAAATCTCGTTTCTTTTGGTTCTTGATTATCCTGAAAATGACAGTTACCGACCGTTATAGTATTAAAGACATGGGAGTCTCACGGGCATTATTTCTATGCACTGTTGGCATTTCTTGTGGTACATGCTACAGAGATTGTAAAAGATATATCCGTGCTGTGGAGATGTTTACAATGAAGTTTAGAAAAGTTACAATTAATATATGATCTCTGTTTGTTAGTACAGATATTGACATGTTAAGCTAGCTTTAACTTCTTATCCTTAATTTTTCAGTACAATATGCATATATTTTCTTTAAGCATCAGAATCATATTTTGTTTTGTTTTACATCACTAGGGATCAAATCCCAGGCTTTTCCCTTGCCAGGAAAGCACTCTGCCACTGAGCTACATCCCCCACCCCAAAGTCATGCAATTTTAGGTGTGTGAAAGAAACTTAGTAATTTTCTAAACCCAGAAAACTATAAATACTAATTTGAGCTTTTTCAGTTATAAATGTACACTTCATAGGTTTTAATGGGTGTTCAAAGAAAACTTGGTAGGCCATTAATTTTGCAGAGTATTCTAAAAAGAGTGTACCTCCTTTGACATATGGCTATAGATATTTGCCACTTTTTCTACCTTGCTATTTTTTAAGATTCTATATTTTTCATTTTCATTCTCTAAAATCCACTCCTGTTTCTCAGTGAGTCAACCCATGGCACCTCTGCCCTTGGAGATGCCATTCCCGCCCTTTTGAAAGGACCCAAAGGTGGCTTCCCAGAGGCAGCTGGGGCAGCTGAAGAGAGCTGAGCCACGCCCAGCCTGGCACAAACAATCACGATGGCAAAAAGCCCCCCAGGAGACCAAAGGCAACATGTCCTCCTGGCCTTCTCTGTGCAGACAGGTGGGAGACGTAAGAGGACCCCGAGGACCCCATCTGTTCACAGCTCTTGCAAATGAGTGCTCTAAAGTGTGGCGGACCACACCTTCAGGAGGGAAGGCTGAATCTGATGGAATGGAAACGGCACAGTAGGAGCAGAAGTGAAAGATTCCACCTGCTTAGGGAGGCGTGAAAGATCTGAGACCCTCAGAAGGCCTGGGTCACCCTGCTCTGTCAGAATGTGCCCTGGGTTGTCTGCTGGAGACGGCAGCCCTCTGAGTGGCTGTGGAATAGCCCGTGACAGTGAGAAGCTCCACGTCTGAAGGAAAGTGGGTGCTCAGGGGGGCACCAGAGTGGCCTGGAGAGTGGTGGAAGAGAAAGGTGACGAGGCAGAGGGTGAATTCAAAACTGTGCATGTGTCCAGAGCGAAGAAGAGAATACGCCCAAACCAAGGTCTCTTCAGTGAGTTTCTTAGTAACCAAATGTGCTCAAACGTCTGTTGTCTTCAAATAAACATATCCATTATTCCATTTATCTCTTTTCTCTTTAGCCAGGTATCTTTACTCAGAATGAACAAATGATAACATTTTGTCGTGTTTGCTTCTGATTCTTTGTAAACCAAAAGAAAGGAAATTATAATTTGTCTCTTTTGAACCCTCCTCAAGTTTAGACAGCAACTCCTCGGGTGAAATCAGACAAGGAAGTAAAACAGGACTAAAGCAAAGCTAAGATTTAACAAAAAGAAGAACAATCTCCACTTCCTCTCTGCCATTCATGTCTTTCCTTCCTTTCAGTCAGCCAACAGTTAACACTGTCGTCTGTGTTCCCAGCCCAGCCCTGTGCAGGGGCTCACAGCCCTGAGGACCTGGGGCGGAATTTCCTGCCTCACAGAGTTGGGAGCCCCGCGCAGAGAGGCAGGCCTAGAAGCAGCTATGACAGTGGTGCCCCAGCTATTGAAATGGTGCTGTGAGGGTCAGGCAATGGCCATCACAGGGATGGGGCTCAGGGAAGGTTTGAAAGATACGGGCAGTCACGGGGGTGAGGGACACCAGCAAGGCAGGCACTGCCTGGGCAAGAAGCAGATGGAAAGAGGGTAGAATAGGCTCACGAAAGCCTGAGGTATAAGCAGGGATTCTGCTGTTAGGCTCCAGGACTAAGACCCATAGCTGGGTTTGAAATAGGAAAGGATATCATCCAGGTCCCTGGAGGAGGACTAGACTTGGAGGAGAGGGTAGGTCAGACATAACCATGGATATCATTTCTCCCATCCCTGCCCAGAAACACGGTGCACTGAGTACAGGGAGACTCTGGCCCAGTCAAGCTATGGTAACATCTGGTGCATTAATAAAACATTTATAACATGGGACCGATCAAATGGAGTCCGTTTGTTTTCTCTAGGATTTCCACTAATCCAGGCAGAAAGAATGGCTCTAAGTCCACAAAATGCTTCCCGTCTCAGATGATAAATCAGCCAAGAGTATTTTGCATTAGAGTATTATATCTTGATGAAAGTCTCTTCTTAACCCAGGCATCCTCAGAGTCTCAGAAACCCACTTACACTCCAGAACTTTCTTCTGCAGAAGGCAGACCCCGCATTAATATTTACTTGAGGTCTACCCTGGGCTTCTGCCCGAGTTTCATATTTGCAGTGAGTGGGTCACTGGTTCGTACCTCACATGGTATCTGGTTCCCCCATGCTCAAGTGTCCCAGCAGTGGTAGCACTCAGAGGTGTCCCCATGGGGTTCCCTTTCAGTGGTGCTGTCAGTCCTTCTTGTCTCTGGTGCTGGGCCGTTAGAGACTTGTTTTCTAAAAAGTCACCCAAGGTAGATTTGTTACAATGAAATGTTAACCAGCAATCAGACCATTAGCCCAACTTGGATGGCACGCCAGTCGCGCTGGACTCTTGAAAGGATGTCCACAAGGAGTTTGCCCAGCCTTCACTGAGGACCCGCCACCTGCTCTAGACTCTGAATATGGCAGCAGGGGGCACAGAAGAGGGGCTGCTGGGTACCCCAAGTCAGAGCAGGGTGCCAAGTTACCAGGACTATTTGTTAACTCAGCCAGGAGGCATGAGAAAGGGGAATCCACTGTTCTCAGAAAGAACAGAGAGGCCAGATGAGGAAGGAAGAGCTGCATTGCCCCGTGGGACTGTAGAGGGACCTGGCGTCAGCATGGGGGAGGGACAGCAGGCACCCACGGGTACCAGTTACTGGTTGTAATGACAGAGAGGTGTCCCCTGTTATCCCCATGGGTGTGCATGTGGCCTCGGGATCAGGTGGGGGCTGCCATCAGGTAGGCACCACTGTCTGCAAGCCTCAGAATTTGGGAAATAAGAACCCCAAACACCATTTGTTTTTGACACCCTTAGCTAAAGGGAAGTTAAAGAAAACCACAGTCTTGTTTCAGCAAACCAAGCAGAGGAGCTGTCACTGAAGGGATTTGGTCTAAATCTCCTTGGAGTGAGGGTCCCATTTTTACTTGTGGCAGAGAAGAGTTGAATTGCAGGTAGACCAAAGTATAGTTTCGCTAGCGGTTTTTGTTTGGTTTTGGTTTTTTTGTAG